ACAAGTTTGTATATATTCAATAATTCCGAAATCAGATAACAAGTGCTTCTATACGTTAGAGGATACAGATGGTGGTATAGTATTGTTCTGCAGATCAAAATTATCTTGCATTTACGAAACATTGTTTTTCTATGATTAAGTTAGGTTCAACTATATGAAAAGTGAAAAGTAGAGTTACTTGCAAACCTCAAATTTGAAGACCTGTACTCCTTGACTTAATTAAAAACCACGAGCTTCGATCTGAAATGTTTGTCTCCATAAAATATTTATCCGCTAAAAAAAATAACATGCAGCTCTGAGTTTACCACAGCTTAAAGTACAAAATAGAAGAGAGATGGTTTCCAACAATCTGCTTGTATTACGTAAACTCGCGCCGTACAACATACTCTAGAATTCTCGGATCGATATCAAACTACTGCTTTCTTATAGGATTTTTGAATCTCATGCTTCGTCTTCATATCCCTTGAGATCAGTGAAACTTTAGTGGTTAAGATGATAGGCTATTCACACGTTCTTTAGCTGCCTTCTCAAATTTCGATGAACCAGTATATGAGAAAAAAATCGTAATAGTCTTTGCCGCGATCAGCTCCTAATAGAAATATTGCGATAAGGACGCAAGGGAAACGTCTCCCGTTTTCATTCAGCAGTGGAATTCACTAATAGCCTTTTGCTCTTCTCCTCTCTTCTGCTTAGCCCAACACTCTGTATTACTTAAAAAATACTTTTGCAGTGATTTGCTTGTGGAGAATAGTGCATTGATTTTCTGACATCATCTTTGATTAGCCTAAATTGGATTAGATAGAAATTAATATTTCGTTGAAGTTCGCTACCTAGAGTTATTCTGTACTTTTAATTGAATATTGCTCAACATTCTGCAGAGTTTCGAATTAGAGAAAGATCTTTACTTTGCAGAATAGCCATGTCGAATTGAATACAGCAGGACGTCTGCGCACTCCACCAACAAACACCTTTGTATATCTCTCAAATGACTAACTCTTTCCAATTTTCAGGCGTATTAGACATTCTTGCACAAATCAAATTCTCTTCCTCCGCATTCCTTATCAGCAAAATGCAAGAAGACAATAGAGATGAAAAGAGGCAGCGTATTATCACTTGTGCTACATTGTATTGCCAAAGAGATTGAGCAGCAAAAAAGCTACAA